CTTGGTCCACATGGAGACCAGGGCTGATCATCCCCTCAGTGTGAGACTGTGGAATGTTGATTTAGTTTCCAGCCACTCCTCCACCTCAGCGGCTGTCCGGCTGCCAGTCTCCTGGCACCCTCTCCCTGGCATTGCTTCTGACAAGGCCAGAGTAATTTGCCAGCTGCATCACTGGCATTGGGATCTGCTCCTTGTGTTTGCTCGTGCTGACTATGCAACTGTTCCCATAATTTGGGAGCAGAGATGAAGTTGCTGGAGAAAGAGGAGAGTCTGTTCTTGCCAGCCAGCCTGTCTCTGCTCAGTGCAGCGCTGAGCCCACCTGCACTGCTGTGCAGTGCTCCACAAGGCCAGGTGCAGGGTCAAGGTGGCGTGGGAAGGAGGGGAAACCTGTGTGGTGCCTGTGTCTCCATGGCAGAGGACAGGGAGCTGTCAGGGACATGGGCAGTGACACAAGGCACTGACTGGGCAGTGCTGCAACAGAGCCACATGTGTGAGCAGGCCTGGCAGTGGTTGGTGCCACGGAACCTCCCTCCCCTGCTCAGGGGCTGTTCTGCCATAGTCCTTGCATCGAAGTGCCTGGTGATGAGAGGTGGCCAGGGACATGAAAGACCAGGCTTTTTTTGGGTGGCAGGGACCCAGCCACCCCATCTTGAGGGAGCTATGCAGATCAGCCTCAAACCTTGGAGCCAGTCACTTGTGTCAGGAATGTGACCTGTCCCTACAGCCGGCAGGGGCTGATGCAGCACCTGGAGCCAGTGCTGGAAGTGTTCCTCCTGCTTTGCCTGTACTCTGCACAGCAGCAGTTCTGAGACAGGGGCCAGGGCCAGGGTGGTCAGAGTCTATCTTGAAAGAGGGTATTTGTGTAGCATGGCGGGACGTTTTGATGAGGAAAAAGTTCGGCAGTAAGAAGTAAAGTAATCCTGTAGGCTTTCAGGATATCCTCAATTTGAACACCAACGCAAACCATCTTTGAGGTGTTGCAAGGGCAATATATAGATGTTATTGGGGCCCTTTCATTTTATAATACTGAATTTCATCTGCCATTTCATCTCCCAACCACTCAGTATTCTAAGATGCTTTAGCACTTCTTTGTGGTTACCTTTTAATTTTTACTGCTCCAAGTAATCCTCAGACCTGATCTTAGTCTCTGCCCATTTATTTCTTGTATCATCAGGGAAACGTTTTGAACAGTCCAGTGTTAATGTGGATCCCTGCAGGATTCCCCCAGTGGCCTCACTCCCCTGAAAATCCCAAATGTCTCCTCCAAGTGCTTCCTCTAGTCCTCAACAAGACAACCATCCTGTGTATGCATGGCAGTCTTTTTTTTTTTTTGGGGGGGGGAAATTCCAATTGCAGCGGCAGCAAAATCTAATTAATCTAATTGAAGATATTCAGCTCTGAGGTTCTCAGCACAGGAAGTACATGGAGCTTCTGGGATGAGACCAGAGGAGGCTCTGAGGGCTGGAGCCCCTCTGCTCTGGAGCCAGGCTGGGAGAGCTGGGGGTGTTTGGTCTGGAGAAGGATCCAAGGAGAGCTCAGAGCCCCTCCAGTGCCTTAAGGAAGCCTACAAGAATGATGAGGATGGACTATTTAGTGGGGCCTGGTGCAATAGAACAAGGGGCGATGGTTTAAACTGAAGGAGAGTAATTTTAGATTAGATGTAAGGAAGAAGTTTTTCACAGTGGGTGTGGCCAGACGCCTACAGGCTGCCTGCCCAGAGAGGCGGTGAGTGTCCCTTCCTTGGAAGCATTCAAGGTAAGGTTGGATGGGGCTCTGAGCAACCCGATCGAGTAGAAGACAATCTTGGTCGTGGCAGGTTGACATTTAGAGGTCCCTTCCAACTCAAAGTGTTCCATGATTCTATGTGTAGAAAAGTCTTCTTTTGAAGTTTACGTCTTTACCAAGTACTTAAATCAGATGAAGTTTGTCTCCCATTCATATCCTTCCTCTGCATAGGAGCCCCCCTCCATCCTGTAACCCTTATTGCTGCATAGGCTGGTCTCTGGTTCCCATGAAGTGAACGAGCTGTGCACAGAAATGGCACCACAGGAGCCACCAGTCCTGGCTCGGGGCAGCACCAGGGGCCTGTGGCAGTGCCTGGGCTGTGGCCCAGTGGCAGCAGGGCCAGCCAAGGGCAGATGAGGGACCAGCCCACGCTGCAGTGGCGTAGGGGGCCAAGAGCCTCCTTGGCCATGAGGAAGAGCTGAAAAAAAAGGTGACAGTACTGGCTGTGATTTTCCTAACCTTTAATTTGGCTCTGTCTCCCCAGGAAGCCACTGGGACCATGTCTCTGGTTATGGTCATCCTATGGTTTAGTGCAGGCTATGTCTGAATAACTACCTGGCTTTTGTTACCTGCTTCCAAAGAAAGATGGAGGCTTGCTTCTGAAATGCAACTGCACTTTTTGAAAACTAAAGCCTCCTCTGATTAAGACTTTTGAGCATAATTCAGATGGGGTTTTGGACTTGATACAGCATGCATATAAGAGGACATTATGCTAATTAATGTCTCAGCAGAGCTGTCCAATATAATCACCACCCCTTCCAATCTCTCTCATTCCACTATAGTTTAATGATAAGATTGACCTACTTAATTTTGAAGGCAGCTGGCTTTCACAGTCAAGCAACACTTCAATCAAGAAATAATGTCATGCTTAGTGCTAGTTTCATTACCACCATCAGAGTCACACAGCATCCCAGGATGACATTACCCCTCCACTTGCCATGAAGGTCACTGAGCAAGCACCTAGGACCAGACTGCTCCAGAAACTGGTCCCAGGCCATGGCTCTGCTCCCAAATACCTGCGGTGGCACAGGGAAACATCTGATTTACAGGTGATGCCACTCCAAGGAGAGTGAAGCAGTGGAAGAGCTTGCCTGGCACAGGTGTACTGTTTTTACCAATAGAGATATGATAAACTAATGGGATGTACCTGACACAGTGATAGAGCTAAGTGTACGACTGCAATGAATTAATTCCACATGCCACGCTCAGTACCAGACCCATTCCATGCGGGCAGAAATGACAAACTGCAGTGGATGTCTCTGTGTGAAGTGCACCCCATGTCACAGTTTCCTCTCAACAGAACAGCTCCATTTTTTTTGACATTTTGGCATTATTAAAGGAGCTCAAACCTTAAAGTTACTGCATTGCATAACTTGCAAGGAGGAAGGATAAGTGATCTCATGAAAATTACTGAATTATTAAAGACTTTTAACAAATCTTGGAACAATGGAGAAATCCTTGAGAATGTGGAAAAAACAAAACAAAACAACTGAACAACTCCCAAACCAAAATACATTTTCTGTCCTTCTCTAAAAAAAAAAACTCTCCAGGCCCCCAAAGCAAAGCTCAAGTGTGCCAGTACTTAAAAAAAGATAAGCTGTGTGATGAGTTTAAGTACAGGTTAGTCTGAAATCTCCCAAACACACCAACAACTGACATTAAAGGGCACCATAAGTAAGACCCAGCCAACATGGTTTCACAGAGAAAAGTTTTCTGTAAATATTATTCTTTCATTTATTACAAGTCTGTTTTGGTAAATGGGGCTGCATCTCCAGCAGTGTGGATAGCAGGTGACAGAGGCAATTCTGCCTCTCTGCTAAATTCGTTACATGGCTGCCTTAGCCTCACTACAGCAGGATGCAGGTGCTCTGGGACAGATTTCTCCCAAACAAGCAGTGGCCCGGCAGCAGTGCCCCCACCTCATACCAGCTTGAGCCAATCCAGCAAACAATCTGCTGTAACGACAGGGATGGAGCGTTGGAGAATGCTTTTTTTTCCACGTGTCATGTTACGTGGAGGAGTATGTTACTGAATTAACTATAAAACCCAAATGGTCACCAAGTATCCATGTCTAGAGAGCAGGTCTAGTTAGTAACTCATAAATGACAGGAAACAGGACTCTAGACTGAAAACCACTATGAAAAACCTTTAATTCCTGGGTTTATTGTACGCAGTGGGAACATAGTGAATGTTTGCTCCAAGTACAGCACTGTGGAGTTCTGAAGAGAAACCACGAAGACAACTGAGCAGCACCAGAGCATGCAGGACAAGCCTGCAGGCAGGCTGGGGCGAGCTGTGGGAGAGGGATGGTGCCAAGAACACCACACACCTAACAGACAAGAAACCACATTCTTGCACTGGTGACATTTTATTTTGTTGTCTTTTGATCTTGCCCATCTCACTGCAGACTTTACACACCCTGCACAGTCCACATGTCTGCTTTCAGCACAGCAATTGCAAATGCAGTAGCACCTGATTCTAAAGGCAGTTCTTGAGTCCATCTTGGCCCTACAGTATCCCCCACTGTCAAGAACAATGAGATCATGCTTGTATGAACACTTATGTACAAACCTGTCTGTTCCCCAGACACTGCAATGGCTTCCCTGTGAATTTCAGCACCAGCAACTTTGTCAGACAGTGCAAATTTTGCAATTTTCTGGTACAGTGGGTCTTTGGATAACAGAGATTCTGGAGAACCCAGTTTTGAAAAATAGGACTGCCTGTGCTGCTGCTTCCTGCTAGCTTCTATGACATCTGCTGCATTTAAACACTGGAACAGGTTGTCCAGGGAGGCTGTGGATGCCTCAACTCTGGTAGTGTTCAAAGTCAAGTGGGATAAGGCCTTGAGCAACTCCTTGGTCTAGTGGAATGTGTGCTTGTGGCAGCAAGGGGTGAGACTGAATGATCTTTAAGGTCCATTCCAATTCCCTAACATTCTGTGATTTATGGAGCACAGGAAGATACTCCTTATGATCCAGAGACAATGCCAACACGTGACTTAAAATAACGACCCCTCTTCTAACCTTTTCTGCACAGGGAAGCCACCACTAATACAGCTCATCTGCACAGAGGTGATACTGAAAAGAAACAGGTTATGTAAGACAGTGAAGGTGGTATCTGCTGAGCAGGGAAAAAGGACACAGTGGGAGCACTGGCATGATCAAGAACCACACACTGGCAAGGCAGCTTCATGGAACCTGATCCCAGCACTAGCAGGCTGCTCACGTAGGTATGCACTGTCTTGCAGTATGTTTCCCAGGTAAGCATGAAACAAGTGGGCTTCAGAGTGCACACAAAGGCCACCTCATACATTCGTTACTGGGGGCTCTGAAAGGCTGGTGAATCTCCAAAGGGCTTGAGAGCATTCAGTCCTTGCAGCACTGGAAGACTTTCTAGAAATCTTTAATGTCCAGCATCACAGGAGACAGATGCCAGAGGAACAGCAGGCTCCTGACAAGGGTAATAATGACCTTCCATCCCTTCCAAGTAGATGTGCTGCTGTATGGTGCTGAGCCTAACTACTGGTGTATGAAATAGAGCCTTGTGCAACAGGATGCAGCAAACACTGAAAAGGTCTCTTTTGTGGCAGCCTTGCTGACAACAGACAGGAGAGTGACAGGGCAAGCCAGAGTCTTTGTGTTCTGCACAGCACTGTTTTCATGTTTAGTTTGTGTGCATTCTGTGCAAGAAAGGATTTCCCCCTTGAAGAGACCTAAACATTGTGCTAGTCAGTCCCTTATGAGAAGAACTGTAAAAAAGAATCCTGATCTCACACGTCAGAGGAAGATGACAAAACAGACACTTGCTGTACTGGAAACCACTAAACAAGCAACTAGTATGACCAAACTGAGACTGCAACCAGAGCAGGAATCACACTGGGTACACTGTCGGTGCCATTGTCCAAAGAACTACACCAGCAGAACCAGCCTCTGCACCACAGCTTTGGTTTGTATTCCTCACAATTGACCAGACACAGAAGTTTCAGTATCAAAGTCACCCGCAGACTTGAGTCACAGTCCCAAAGACATTTAGTTGCTTATATTAGTGCTGTGGGTTATGAGCCTGACAGAAGTGGGGCTTGTAACGGAAAAGCTTTCAAATTACTCCTTCTCATCTTCTAGGGATTTACTTCGCCTTCGTTTGCGGCTGGTTTTTGGAACTTCAGCTGTCTGTGCAACTTGGGGTCCCCCTTCCTCGCTGCTCGCATTCTCGTTGTCCACTCGTCGTGGACGACCTCTCTTCCTTCTCTTCATTTTTTCAACTCCAACAGCAGGGAGCTTCTTGGCAGCCAGGGTGCCAGCTCTCTTCTTTCTGCCTCTGCTCAAAGGACGTTTCTTCCGTTGCTTCCTCTGCTCTTCCTTTTGGCGAATTTTCATTAGCTTCTCAAAGCTTTTGGTGGTCGTTGTGTTCATATCAAACCAGTCCTGCAGATTTAGAAGGCAATAGGTTGGTACTGATGGTGGTGGAAATACCAAATAAAGTCTATCAGGACCTACAATATAGCTGCCTTGTGGGACAAGGTTTCCCTGAAATGTAAGATCTGGAAAGGCAACTACCTAACAATGCTCTGTTTCTTGATGTGTCTCCTCAGGTGTCACTCTGTCTCAGAGGATTCGGATTTGATTTGATATTTGCCTAGTTAAAGGTACATGAAATGCTGCAGAGCTGAACAGAACAGCATCAGCCTGGGACAAGGCATATGACATGACATTATACTTGCTCCCCAGACTATCACTTATGACCAACTAAGTTTAAGGACCCTGTTCCCAACAGTGTGCAAGGAAGAAGTACAACATGGCACACATCCAGCATTTTCTTCTTAGGACATTCTTCCCACCTCCAACTGCCTGGGGTTTGAGGTTGCACTCTGCCTGTCTTACCTCAGCATGCACAGAGTTGATGTGATACTTGACCCCACTCTCTGAAATGAACTCCTTTTCACACAGGAGACACTTGTATTTACCAGCCACAAAGTCTCCCTGGCATCAAAACAAACAAACAAACAAAAAAATATTCCATCAAGAGTTGCTGATAAACCTATATATTTCATTTTAAAAATCTTGCTCAGATAGAATCCAGCAATAAAAACTAGAAATTCTGATCCATACCAGACAGCCTTAGCTACAGGTGATGCCTTAAGTTTTAGCTTTTATATTTTCCAGATTCTGTACTGCATTAGTATGTAACTTTGAACTTCATATAAAGTGTTAGCAAGTTCTCTTTGCAGTTTAGTTAGACAAAAAATCCTTTTCCAGCCCCAGAACCAAGGACACTGTAACAGCTTCAGGCCCAAAAAGTGCAAACAACAGCAAAATTAGGAAAAAAACTGGGAGGATGGGACTTTATAATCTGAAGCCGTAATTGGACAATTAACTCTGATATGTAAATGGACCAAACTTATAGAAGTGTGAGAACTCATGACCTGGGATCCATCTTGGGTGAAGCCATAGCTAGGCTCTTGCACTGCCCAAGATGAATCCTTTAAAGGCCTTTTAATAAATCCCTGCTTTATTCCTTTAACACTGTCTAGCCTCTTTTCTAGGTAGCTTCTTAGGCATCACAGGAGCACTGACTTGAGTGAGCAGTTGTGCCCATGAAGCATAGGACTGCTCTCTGAGATGCCATAAGGTGTCCAGCGGCGCACCTGAAAAACCCGGTCTTGTAGCTGTGAATCTACAGCTAGAACTGCTGTGTCAATAAAGGGAATGCCATTAAGGTGCTTCCTCCTGGTCTCAAGCATTGTTTGCAATGGCAACCTCCTTAGCACATAGGGGAGCACCTAAATTGGGGGTTGGAATGAGATGATCTTTAAGACCCTCTCCAACCCAAACCATTATATGAATCCATGAACTTTTTAGGATCTCAGATTAGCAGATGGCAGGACAAGAGCTTGAAGAAAGGGTTATCTGAGGGACAGGGACAGTGGGGCTATTAAGAGGAAGGCTACCAACCAAGGTACATGTGCCAAGGTGAGACTTGAGTCCTGAGACACTGCCATACACAGATTCACAACCCTGAAACAGTAAAAAAAAACAAACATGTGGACAACATGCTAGCAAGAAATCACTTCTTCCTGGACAATAGAGCATTATTATGTCTGGAGGGCAATCCCACAAGAACAAAAGAGTGGCAGAGGGAGGCAGATAGCAATTCTCCAAAGCTAGAAAGCTTTTGGTAAGAAGACCGTTAGAAGACTTAAGTTTTCATTAAGCTTAGTATTTACATTTCCAGTTTCTGAGCACACCTGGACATCATAAAGACACTCCTGTGACAGTTACACTCATGCTCTATCAACAGCCTGACTAAAACCAGAGTTTGCTTTCTGCTTGAAGTGCAACAGGGAATTTACAACAAAGCACATGGGGCACGTACAAGACACTTCTCCCTCCTGCACTGCTCATGTCTCTAGTGGCACAGAGCAGGAGTACAGCATCCAACATCCCTGGTCTCAGTTAAACGGCAGCTTTAGAGGCCTGTCCCATGGGGAGCTTCAGGCATCAGTCCTGGGGTACCACAATGTGTTCAGCCCTCAGCCCAGGTCCTGGAACAGGAGGCAGGAGCAAGACATGTGGCTGGCTTACTGGTTGGTGACACAGGACAGCTGCTCTCTGGAGACAGCTCCACATACAACATGGTGCTGCATTTCTGGTACTTGAAAATGATGCTAGGCTGAATACTGGGGAGAGAGTGCTGGGGGTGGGGTAGGGCAGGGGGAAGGCATTATCTATGCACCAAACCCAGAAGGCAGCTGCCACTGACCCTTGGCTCTCTGACAGCATGCATCACACGGAGATGTCCACCACCACCTCCACCAATGGGGCTGTTTGCTCTCACTGGATCTGACTGGTGATTGCTGTAAGGCATTTCAGAAACTAAGCTTTCCAGTGCCTAAAAGGGTCCAAGAGAGCTGGAGAAGGACTTTGGACAAGGACCTGAATTGACAGGACAAGGGGGAAAGGCTTTCCACTGCCAGAGGGCAGGACTAGATGGGATACTGGGAAGGAATTCTTCCCTGTCAGAGTGGTGAGGCCCTGGCAGAGATTGCCCAGAGAAGTTGTGGCTCAAGGCCACAGCTCTGGAAATGCTCAAGGCCAGGTTGAGAAGGGCCTAAAGCTGGTCAAGTGCAATGAAGAAAACTTAAGTGCTGTGCCAGACGAAGTCTCTTTACTCTTGTATTTCCACCTCTGCTCCTTCCTTCTCTGGTTAGATTTAGATAGAAAGCCAGTGGCCTGTCATTTTTCCACTATTCAAACCTCCAAATGGACCAACTGCCCACCTGGATGAGAAAACTGTACCAGCTTGACACCAAGTTACTGGCTCTCAAGTGTTCACACACATTCCCAAAAGGATCATCCCCAGGGCATTTTCACGTAAAGGACAAAAGGACCATCCGCAGGCACCCCCAAGACTAAACATGGTCGTGATTACACTAAACAACCATATTGAGATGGAGCAGGATTTGTCTCCCAGAGAGACCAGCTGCAGTTTCAAGGTTGTGGGAAGCTATTGGCTCATACAGACCTGAAATCTATCTCCTCTGGGGCTTCAGAAACAGTTAAGGATTACCTGATTTGGGCAGTGGACTCTTCGGTACATCTTTATCTCTGTTTTCCATTTGCACAGCACATCTTGACTAAACGTGGGCAGTCCAGGACGAGTGTATTTCAGCTGAGACAAAGATGGAATCGAGAGCTGGAAGTAATGCTGGCTACACAGAATTTCCTCTTCTAGGGTAAGACAGAAGTGCTATCTCTTCTCCTACTCTAACAGGCAAACTCCCAGTGATGAATGTTTTCCTGTCTCACCAACTCTCTAGAAACATAACTGAACCTGGAAAACCCCCACAATGTCAGAATCTGAAACTTCCCATTGCCTTGACTACAACAATTCCTCTAAATATACCTACCCCGCTGAAATCATAAACCATCGTTTTCCCTTGGGTTTCACTCACAGTCTAAAAGACGCCACTGGAAACTCTGAAGTCTAGAAATATCACAGCATGTATGAGAGTCTGGAAGGACTGCTGGGACCTTACAGCATGGCAGGAGTGATCTTGAGCCTATCACTTGTGAGCAACATCATGCCCATAACTGGCCATGTTCTTTGTGCCCACTGAGAACTCCAGCAACAGTCATTTACAGTCATTACAACTTGCCTGAACAAAACACTTGCACAGCAATTGCTGCTGCAGAAATACTGTAATCTAAGACAAGAGAGAGCAGAACCCAACCCCTCACACAACATACTGCTTTCCACGTGCCATAAACATGGGGTAGGAGCCAGTACAAGACTCATCAGATGTGGAGGTATAAACTTGAACCCTATAAAGCATTTTTCAGCCTTGTACCTTCCGGTCATCTGGAATCAAGTCCTGCAGAACTTTTCTTTTGGGCCACTCTTTGGCTAGCTCTTCTCCTGCCAGCTCATGGAGATAGTAGATTGCCACCTTTGCAGATCTTCTCTGAACTCTGCCTGTGTTGTTTTGCTCCCGTTTCATTTCTTTCAGGTTCTCTGTTCTTCTCTCCTCATGGAGCAAAGTGACCTGCAATGAAGGCCCAAAAAGGTGAGCCTCTTTCACTACTTTCTATTTCAGTTACACTAAATACTGAGAATAAACGTTTTGCCAAATCCCTCATAAATAGGCTGCAGCAGCTGTGGTTTACTGTCACAGACATAGGACAGAAGTGCATCCCACTAGTCAGACAGACCCCCAGATCTGCTCACAGGGATCACAGCAGTGAGGCTCAAGCAGAGAGTTTCATGCAGTTGCTAGTCTTGAAAAGTATTCCATCATTTGTTGTAAAACTCTCATGGACAACAAGACTGCCTGTTCTGCTCCAGTGGTGAGTTTTTTAAGAGCAAATGAAAGCATCTCATGAGTTATGTTAGCATCACTCTTTCATGGAGCAAAAGTCAGGTCATTTACTGCTGCCATGCTGATTTACTATTAAAAACTTCATTCTAGTCACAGACAAGCAACAGCTGCTGCTAGAAGGAAACTATCAAGGACAAAATAATCCAGGGGCAGGAAAAATGCAAAGATTTGTGATCTGTAATTACCCAAAAAAGTAACAGACAAAAGTCTACAGGTGCCTCAAGTCTGAGTGCCATCACAGTCCCCTGATAACCACAGCAGGGTGCACTCACCGGCCCGTGCTTAGATCGGAGGTGGTAGACAAGTCCTGCCTTTGATCTGTATGCTTTCCCACAGTGATGGCACTTCATAGCCATTTTCTCCAGCTCAGAAGCAGCCTTCCCACATTTTTTAATATGATATAGGTATCCCATTATGCTGGTGAAGCTGCCTGTGCAACCCTGTCAACACAGAAGAAAAATACATGGAAGAAAACTATTCTTCAAGGGATTACACGACCAGTGTGAAAAGGATCCACAATTTGCTGACCAAAGTACTATTACTTATCCTGACAGAGCAGAGACAGGCAGGTAGAAAACTTTAATGTTATTCTATTCAGACAAACAAAATCTGCAACAAAGAACTGTCACTGAAATAACTATTAAAGGTCTCTTTTAACCCAAACTATTCTATGCTACTCTGTCTTAAAAGCATAGCTGGGATCTTGAAACAAAGCTTGCTTTGGCCAGCACCAGAGCACACTCAACAGCGTTCTCATGTGTTATGTTTATGCATCCACTGCTGTTTAATTCACACTTTGCACAATGCAGCTTACCTCCCTTGTACACTTTAGTTTTCCCATTCGCTTCAAAACCTTCCGGAGGCGGTCTCGCTCAAGCTGCTCATCCAGTTCTTCTCCCTCCTTTACAATTGGCTAAAGCACAGCAGAAAGATGAATGAAAACCACAGGATGCTCAGCATTTACAGTTCTTCTCACAGGGAATTCACTACTCAACATACTGGGGCAGGAAAACTTCTAAAATAATTAAATCTCTGCAACTTATGATTTTACAACATCCAACATCCCTGTATTTACTATAATGACCACTTTCTGTATCTGTGCTGTTTTTGGCTGGGGTGACAATTGGTACAGGACTGTGTTTTGGATCTGTGCTGAGAACTGGGTTGATAGTGTGGAGATGGTTTTGTATTGCTGAGCAGCCCCTGCACAGTGCTAAGGGCTCTTCTTGTACTGAGAGGGGACATATCTGAGCCAGCCCACCCCAACTGATCACAAGGGTATTCCAGACCATACGGTATCATGCTCAGCATATGAAGCTGGAGGAAGAAGGAGGAAAGGGGTAGACATTCAAAGTGATCGTGTTTGCTGTTCCAAGCCACTACTACGTGTGATGGAGCCCTGTGGTCCTGGAGATGCCTGGAGCTTCCTGCCAAAATGGTGAATCAATTTCTTGTTTTGCTTTGCTTTTGTGCTTCATCTATTGAACTGTCTTTATCTCAGCTGATTAATTTTCTCATTTTGATTCTCTCCCCCATCCTGCAGGTGGGGGAGAGTGAAGGGCTGCATGGGGCTTGGCTACTGGCTGGGGTTAAACCAATGAGAAATTATCTTTAAAAGGAGTAAACTGACAGAAAATGATGCATCTTAAACATTTACCGGTCCTACTGTTTCCACTTAGCCTGACTAAAGTGAAGCAGACTGCTTGTAACAGTTATTCATCTGTGCTATACTACAGCTCAAGTTTCTTATTCTCTCTGATGGCTATTGTATATTATTTCTTACTGTACTTAATATTACACCTAGACTGAGTAAAAAATAGAAGCCAGTGACAGACCTAACCCTCAGGGCCAGAACATGATCCCTGACCTGCACCATTTACTAACATAGCAGTTCAGGAACTGCATTGGGAATTGTGCAAAAAAATTTAGAGTGAATTATCTGACTTTATGCAAACTTCCAAATGACCTCCTCAAAAGTTCTAATTCTTCACAACTACAACAGAAGACATTGCCTTCTTTAAAGTAAGAGCAAAGAGGAAAAGCAGATTGTAACCTAGTATTAGATCAGTATTTTTACAATGAAGAGAGACGATAAGTAATTGCTGCTTCTGCTATTATATCTCAAATCTAGTCTGCTCTAGATGTAGAAAAACCTCCTTTCTAACAAAGGACTGAAAATTGCAGCCTAATCTTTTTCATTCTCATTGGAAATACCTTTTATACGTAATTTATTGCCAGCCTAAACAGAAATTCATCCCTCTTTCTAAGATGTTGCATGCCTACCATCTCTGGTAACATTTTACCGTTTTTCAGATGTCAAGTCTCACTGGAAAAATAACAGTTAGACTAGATATGAACAGCTACAACATCTAAAAAACCCACTCCATGTTCTGTTTCTGTGTGTACCAGGAAAGGACCAATACCTTTCCTGCCTGTAGAAGTTTTAGATACACCGTAGTTGTGTTACCTGATTGTTATGGTCTGCCATGACATGGTATTTCATCCCTGCTAAAGACTTCAGCTGCTTCCCACAGTGATGACATGTGAACATTTCCTAGAAATAAACAAGAACAAGGTGCATTTAACTGTAAATTAACCAAAGCAGTGGAAAACTCTTTGGGGGAAAGGAGCAGGAGAGCAGAACATTTTATTTGGACCTGGTAACTGTCTTCTAAGAACAGATTTTACGGAGTCTAAAATTTAGTGGAACAATGAAATAACTACACCCTTGTTCACTACCTCAAACCTCCAGCAAAAGGCTGGGCAAGAAGCACCAAGCACTATTCTTACAGATGTATAAAAAACTCTTAGGGACATGATGAGGAGATGAAACTGGTTTTAAATACAACACAAAACAGGCAGGCATTTCTATCAGTAAGCTGAAGAGCAGTAAAGAAACCATTGCTCATCTCTTGTGTTCTTACCTTCCTGCAATTTACCATATGTTTCTTCAGTCCTTCTACAGTCTTTCTCACCACAGCCCGGCATGTTGGACAGGTAACTCGGCCTTTGTTCTGAATCTCCAAAGACCATTGCTCTTCCATACTACCTGTCAAAACACAATGTTTAGAATACAGGTACTAACACAAGATCTCTTTTTTTTTTTTTTCTCCTTTGATGTGCACAGTGAACCCTAAAAAGAAACAGGTCACATGCTACCAAACTTGTATCCAGCTGCACTTCAATACATGTAGCTCATTTACAGCGTTAGGTATGTAATGTCACAAGGCACACATCACTCTTTCTCAAAGAGCACTTTACACTCTTCAATCTACCATTCCCTTGTAAGGAGTGTTCTTCTACTTCACCAGTGGACATTTTTCCTTTGTTAATTTCTGTCATTACATTAACATACTGAGTAGACTTTTCTTTTGGCAAAAGTGTTTTCATAGTAAAAGCAGCCACAGACCACCAGGTCAAGTTGCTCAAGAGCCAGGGAAAAGCAACCAGGCATAGTTTTCAGTTTCTAGCCTCTTTGTGAAATCCCAAGCAGAAATTTGGCATAATCCACAAGGATTATGAATTACTGAAATGGGTTCTGGGAAGAAAGTGGTTTAGCAGCCATGTGCCTGAATTCTTACCATAACAAGGTCCAAAGCCTTTCCTCTTTTCCCAATAATAATAGGCCCAGGCTGTCCCTCTCCAGTAAGCTGGGGAGAAAGTTTGTGAATCAAACAGCACTTGGAAGAAAACTGAGGTGTTTAATGAGTGCTGTGATCTGCAAATATCCAGTAATTCCACTCACTGAATCAAGGCTAATTTTATTTTTCTAGGGCAGATTGCTTGGGTCTCTGATTCCCAGAAAAGATGATCTGGCACCAACAGCTACCATGGTTTTCCTGCAAATATATTCTGCTGCGTAAAAACTATACATATTTTTATGAGTTTAATAATGCAACTATTTTAACAGGCTTTTGTTCAGTTCAAAAAGTGATTCCCCCTTCACTATTACATTATGTAATGGGAAGAGCACGTGGAACTACACTCAGGCAGTGTGCAGTCCTTTCAGTTGTGCTCTGCAGTACTGACACAGTGCCAGGACAGCAGCCAGCTCTTCCTTGTCAGCAATAAAGTGAACTACTAAATGGAAACACCAGAAATACAGCTGTTGCTCAGATTCAAATCTTAGAATCACATTTATCTGCTTCATAAACACTTCTTTGCTACTGCCTCTCCTTACCTATGTCATAGGTTTCAGGCTCTTTCTGAACACGGTGGCCTTTCGTTCTGGAGTTTTGTTTTGTTCCAGTTTGCTGTTTTTTACCTGTTATAACACAAACAAGACAAGCCAGAAGACTCAGTTCTGCTAGCTTTTTAACAATAAAAAGCAGATTTTTTTGCTAGAAGGCTGCTATTTAGTCTCCTGTCTCAAAGTTACTCAGAAACGTTCAATGCTTTTTTTTTTGCTAAAGCAATGCCAAGATTATGTTTCCTACTCCCTTTCAAAATCTATTTTTAGTGGCAGGCATTAGTCCCACACAAATATTTTTAAGTTCGATGGTTGCTCGTACACAAAACTGAGGTGATGGGAACTCTTCACACTGAAACATCCTCTCTGCACAGTTTGTCTGAGTCCATCTGACGACAACCAAAATGGAGAGTCTCATTTCTCTACTTATTCCTGTCTTCTTTAGATGAAAAAACTCTTATTGTTTCAGTATGGGTTATGCTGTTTGCTCTCATCTCCCTGTCCTCTTCAGTTGTCCCACACATTTCCTGAACTGCAGTACCTACTCCTGGAAACAGCACTCCCTGTGCTGTGACCCTGCATTAGAGCAAAATAATTATTTCACATGTCTATTTACTTCACAAAATAAGTCTACATTCCTGCTCAAAGCTCTCAGTCTAACATCTGCCTCCTTAAAAACCACTGCTGGTCCCTGGTCAGCTTTTGATCTGTTATAGATCTTGAATCCTCTTCTGAAGCACTGACTCCTGGGAGGCTGTTCTTTGTTTTTCAGCTGTGACAGTATTTCTTTCCAAACTATTATAATCTTTAATTTTATACTGTTCCCTGTTCTATTTTTAAACTGTTTCTCTATTGTCAAGACCACTTTCACTTTTAGCCTTTTTTCCAATACACTTGCTGTCACTTTCAGCTTTGTGCTGTCTACGTACTTGCAAGTCCTTGGTGACAAAAACAATGGTTAGAATTGAATATAGGGACAGATAGTGAACCATCTTTCTACACTCCTATTTCACCAAGCTAGTGACCTCATTGTAGAAGGCTATCAGGTTGATTTAAGCATGATTTGCCCTGCATGAATCCATGTTGACTACTCCAAATCCCCATCTTGTCCTTCATGTTGTGTTTGGAAATGCTTTCCAGGATGATTCTCTCCCATCAGCTTCCCAGGGACTAAGGTGAGGTTGACTGGCCTGTAGTTCCCCAGATGTTCCTTTTTTCTGTCCTTTAAGATACGAGTGATATTTTCTCTCTTCCAGCCTCCAGGAACGTCTACCAGTCACCATGACCTTTCAAAGATAATCAGAAGTGGCCTCACAATGACATCAGCCAGCCCTCAGCACTCAGTGCAAGCTGTCAGGCCCCATAGGACTTAGAATCATAAACTGTTTAGGCTGGAAAAGCCCTCTAAGACTATCAAGTCCAACAGTTCCCACAATGCTGCCAAGGCCTCTGCTAACCCATGTCCCCAAGTGCCACATCCACACGCCTTTCAAATCCCTCCAGGGATGGGGACTCCACCACTGCTCTGGACAGCTGTGCCAAGGCTGGACAGTCCTTCTGGGGCAAAAAATTGCTCCCAGTATCATACCTAAACTTGGTGCAATTTGAGGCCATTTCCCCTTGTCCTGTCACTTGTTCTGTGAAAGCCGAGGCTGATGCTCACCTGGCTCCACCACCCTGTCAGGGAGTTGTGCAGAGCCCCAAGGTCCTCCCTGAGCCTCCTTTTCTCCAGGCTGAGCCCCTTTCCCAGCTCCCTCAGCCTCTCCTGGGGCTCCAGCCCCTGCCCAGCTCCGTTCCCTTCCCTGGACACCTCCTGCCCCTCCAGGGCTCTCCTGTCAGGAGGGGCCCAGAGCTGCCCCCAGCACTGGAGGTGCCCCAGCAGTGCCAGCACAGGGGACAGGCACTGCCCTGGCCCTGCTGCCACCCCACAGCTGGCACAGCCCAGGGGCCACTGGCCTCTGGCACGCCTGGGCTTGTGCTGAGCTACTCTTGACCAAACTCACAGGGGTTTTTCCAGCTCCTTTGCCCCAGCCTGGAGTTCTTAACAGGTTTACAGTGACCCAAGGGCAGGACCTGGCACTTGGCCTTGTTGACCCTCACACTGTTGGCCTTGGCCCATCATTCTAGTCTGTCCTGTTTCCTTTGCAGAGCATTCCTGCTCTCTGACAGACCCACATCCCACCTCACTTGGTGTCACCTGCAAACTTAATGAAGATACACTCAATCCCTTTATCTAGGTCATCAATAAAGATATTAAACTGGACTGGCCAAATACCGGGCCCTGAAGAAGACAATGGGTGACTGGCCCTAGGAGGATGTCACTCCATTCCCCATAAGTCTCTAGGCCCAGCCATCAAGCCAATTTTCTACCCAGCAAAGAGTGCACCTGTCCAAGCCATGAGCACCCAGTTTCCCCAGAAGAATGATGTGGGAAATGGTGTCAGAAAGCTTTACTAAAGTCCAGGTAAATAACATCCATAGCCTTTCTCTCATCTGTTAAATGCATCACCTTGTCAGAGAAGGACATCAGGTTAGTCAAGCAGTACCTGCCATTCCTGAACTCATTCTGCCTGGGCCTGTAGATGCCACATGATATTACCAAAGATAATCTTCTTCAAGACCTTCCCTGGCACTAAGGCCACAGCAACATGTCTGTAGTTTCCTGGATCCTTCTTCTGACCCTTTCTGCAGATGGGGATCACACAGGCTAACCTCCAGCCCTCTCATACCTTCCCACTTAACCACAACTACTGGCAAATGATTTGATAAATCCAGCTTGTTTAAGTGCTCTAACCTTGACCTCTTTCACTGTGTGTAGGAATTCCCTGTTCCAGACTTTCCCTCTGTCTAGTCTCAGGCTCCTGGGATTCCTGAAGAATTCTTTAACTGATAAAAATCGAGGCACAAAAAACATTGAGTACCTCAGCCTTTTCTGTGTCATTTGTCACCAGCTCCCCTGCCCTGATGAGTACACTCACACCTTCCCTGATCTTCCCTTTGCTGTTCATTCACTTGTAGAATCTTTTCTTGTTGCTGTTCACATCCCTTGCCAGATTCAACTCCAGGCTGGCTTTGGCTTTCCTAACCTCCTACTTGCAAGACTGGGTAGCAAATGTACACTTCTGTGTCACCTGCTCCTACTTTCACCATTTGTATACCTTCTTTTGCACCTAACCACTGATTGACAAACCTTTTGAAGGAATGAAATACCTACAATGTCAAGCATTCCTCCCTTCGGTGTTTGTGGCAAAAAAAAAAAAGTGTTTGGGATTCACTTCTTTTAAAAAACCCATATTGCTGTTATCAGCTACTCAATCTCCAGATATTTACAAGTAATGTGTCTATTTAGTCTATAATCTTTTGGGAAATTGAAATGATGCAGACTGACCTATACTTTTCATAATTCCCTTCCTCCCTCCCTTTGTTGGACTTCTAAGACAGACAGAAGATCTTAGAATCTTAGATCACCTTCCACTGATTAAGTAGACACTAGTCAACGGTCTCCTAGAACAAAACATTCAGAATCAGAAATAGAGTTTGAAGACTCCAGAAGATGTCATTTGAGCAGAAAAGTCTGAAGTACCTGGAGGCTTGTAATTAGGAATTACAAGTTATTTGTATTACCGGAAGTCTTCTGCTTCTTCCTGGGAGAGTCTTTAACGTCTTTGCCTTCCCTTTGCTCAGATTTCCTCTTGCCTTTCAATAGTACTTCTCCTGATAAGTAAGAACAGACATGCTTCAGTCTTGGTATTCAGTCTGGATAACAGCTTTGAGTCTACTGCTGCCTCATCTTATCCTTGTATTCAATATTTAGCAAAAAAACCCCTTGTTCTTGTGAAGCATCTGGACACCGCTGAACTGAACCCAGCCTTCTCACTCAGCAACATTTAGGCGCCCCATGGCCCACAATACCCTGATACAGCAGATATGGAAGAAACAGTGCCACAGCATGGCCTGGAAAAATAATCCTCAGGAACAGAGACAGAAAGCGCTAGGTTATGTCATAAAAACCTCACCTGCACTCACACAAAAAGGAGCATACAGAAACCCAAATAATATCATGCCTGCCCTGAATATTTCCAAGCCTATCAGTGTCATCTCCATGAAGACAGATGAGCACAGAAGCACAATGATAGTCAGGAAACACCAATTATAGACCTTAAGAACAGACAGCTTCCTCCTGGGCCTGTTGCAGGAGACCCACAAGGATAAGTCAATGGGAACTCCTCTCTGAAGCACCCTTTGGAACAGGGAAGGGAGGAATAGTGAGAAGGGAGAGCATGGTGTTACTCCCTAGGGTTCTGCAGCACCTGGGATCTGAGTGAAGAACAATTCAGGACTACACAAGCCTAAGATGTTTAAGAGTGGTATCAAAGGGAGGGAAAGGGAGAGAATTACCTGTTTTGAGGTTGATCAACCGTGGGAAAATAGAGGTGTAAGAGGATAGCAAAGAACACTTGCTTGTAAATAGGAGACTGGTCAATATACAAATCTTGTCATGTCTGCCATCAAGCAGGGTCTGTGAGCATGAGCCTGTCTGTAAGGAGGTCTCCACCCGCTGCTGGCATGGCTCTGTGGGCCTCAGGGGCCAGTACATACATGGACCAGCAATTGAGGAGACTGGGATCCAAAGATCAGGTACTGAGTAGATTGAGTATTTAAGGATGGAGGCTGTGCTGTTTATGTGAATGCTGATCTGCGTGGCTCCTGTTTATGTATGTTGTATGTGTGTGTTCCTAGTGGAACACTCAGTCTTGCCACTCACTGGACCTGGGGGTGTGGAGCTACAGCAATATCACTTCTACCAAGCTACCGAATTTGCTTCACCCCACATCAGGATGGAATATGGATCCTGACTTAGAGGTAAGAAGAAAGTACATTAAAGAAGATTGAAGTTTTGACTCTCTGCCATACAAGAAGTTTGGAACACAGTTCCTGGGCCAGGAAATCTGAATGCTCCTATAACAACCTAAGACCCAAACCATTCCAAATCAGAAAATTATAACTGAAAAATGTGAGAAAATAGAAGACATCCTTAAAAAATAATAATCTACCAATCGCAAAAGCTGTGTCTAATCCCAAATACTGCTGAATGGTCCCCTTTGCCACATATTTAGTGTTGATGGTTCTGTTTTTAAAGCTCTTGAAGCTTATTTCTGATACGATTGGTGTAACTCTTATACTTACCTCTTCTACAGATAGAACTGAGTTTAGTCACAGAATGATTAATAGACAAGTCACTCAAAAGGAACTGTGTAATGTCAGAGAACTCTACCCGTATTTGTGCAGAGGCAGAAGTTTCTTTCTTCTAATACATGAGCAGCACTAGCAAGCTTGTAATTATTGGTTGAATTGCAGCATGTCTTTCAGGAGCAAATCAGTCTCTCACTGAAAAACCAGAGAAAAAATTAGTTTTGCCTTGGACTAACAGTGATAAATACCTGTTTTTTCTGAAGATTTGTTAACACTGTTTTTCATTCCTCTCATTTCCAACCAGTAAGCAGGCCTGCGAATGGTCCGCTTGCTTCTGGGTTCTGCGCTCCCGTTCACTGGGCCCTTCGGTGAGGCAGGAGGAATGCTGCTGACTGTGTCATCACAGTTACTGTTCGCTCCTAGAACAGCAGTTTCCACCTCCTCAAGTTGCTTAGATCTGGAAAACATCAAGTTGAATTCCTGTGCATATGGATGCATATACACACAATCACAATAAACTTGACAGACAACATCCTTTTCATCTTCCCAAGTATTCTAAAAAATAATCTCACAGTTCACTGAATCTCCTGCGTTTTGGGAACTGTAAAGTGCCAGCAAGATAAAACATCCTCAGTGTTGTTTTTCAGTACATCTTTTTGATAATGACATTAGGCAGCTCTCAAGAGGAATAGAAAAAAATATTCTTCCTGCCTCAAACTTTCAACTTTAGAAGGAGGCACAAGTGAATCTTAATTTAAAAATAGGCATTTATCCTTGGAATATAAGAATATTTCTGCAGCCCATCATTACAAGAGACATTCTCTATTCCACAAAGGGCAAGATCTCCTTCAGTCTCTATTCCCAGAGTCAAGGGCTGGCACTATACAATTAAAGGTTTTAATTTTAAGAATTTTAACTAGCGAGGCTTTCAGCAATGAAGACAATCTTCCAGTATATCCTACAAATCACACTACATTAAGACTACTTTAGACTAATCAGCAGCACTGATTTTTTTTCCCTAGAGATCCGCTTTGCTTCACTGTTTCAAAATATTTCTCTCAGGCCTTGAAATGCCTGGACATCAAGATTCCTGTACATGACAGCAATCTGAATGAGGTGTCAAAGAAACATTGAATATCTATTCTCTGGGCCAACACCATTTATGCAAAGAGGAAAGAAAGGGAACAGAAACATTTTGCAATGTATCCCATTGCTATTACAATTACCAACTGAAGTAACTAGATCACTCCATTGATGACTGTGATGGCCATTCTATTAATACATTGTGAGCTGTGGAGCTCACCTTTTAACACATCAATCTAGGAATTAATAAGGGGGGGACACTGATGGCACCAGGTCAGGTCATTACATACTATGTTTCAGGAGGTACTGCAGAAGCACGGGGAGAGGATTTCTCAAATAAAAGTCTTTAAGTTGCAATCACACCCAAAACACATAGATCTCAGAGCACCGTTTGGTCTTGGACTTAAAATATTTACCTTCACAATGTTAAAATCCTTTAAAAAAATAAATGAAGGCTAATACACACTGAAGTGTCAGAAAAGCACTTTTCCTACAAACCAATAAGTGAAGTCAGCTGAGACTCTCAACACACTAATTAAAATTGTTGCAGCTCTTAAAAGTCAGATACGGTTTTCCACTAGGATTCTCTCAGCTTTTTTCCGTCTCTCAATTAAACTAGACAAAAAACATTTACATACTTCTTATTTCCCAAGGACTTCTTGAGCTTCTGCTCTCTCTGATGTTCAGTCGTGGTATCCTAACAAGGCAGAACAATTCACATTAGCAGCATCATTTGTTTTCTTTTAGCATGTTTCACTATGCAGCTCACAATCACCTGCACTTTGAGGATGTGCATATACCACTCTGAAAAACAAACCACTGTTTTCTGCAACTGGAAGTGCTTAACCTTTCCAACTCCAGCTGAATTGGAACTGAAATCAAAACAGGGATGAGTCCCTCCACACTCCCCATATGAAAGCCAATCCTTCCCCTTGCAATAGGACACGATGGAGTGTTCTTTGTCTCCAGTAAATTCACCCATATGTTTTCTGCCTCTACTTCACCACTTGATGACAAATATTTTAGATACTAATTTGTTAGTTTTTACACAGTACTTATTTTTCCTTAATGAAGTAATTCTAGCAATCGCCAATCTCCTTCATGCCCTCATTTTTTATCTTGCTTTATCATATCCATCAGCTGCCCAGATGTTTACTTCATCCACATCACAGAATCCTTTTTCTTATTTAACAAAGGTTTTTTGGTCACTTATCACTTGCTATCTCCTATTAAGACATAAAATTTAACACATCTTTGTAAAAGTACATTTATAAATTGGTATGAACAACTCATTTGCTGTACGTTGCTCCAAGCATGTGGACAACCACGTACCACCATCTTCTTCCAAATACTAATCATGACTGAATACCATTCTTTGTTAGAAAACTCAGGACAAAAACAGTAGTTATATAGACTTGAAAATAAAAATCATTGCCTAGTGGAAGTATTTATAATACCAAAACTGTAACCTAGGGAATAAAGATAGTATTTTGCCATGCACAGGAAGTGGCTAAGAAACTGGAAGAACAAAATAAACCCCCCAAAAAACCCCAACAACAATCAACTACCCCCCCCAAAAAAAGAAAAAAAATTCAATGAAACAAACAAAAAAAACATACACACAGAAAAAGAAAAAAAAAAATTATAGATAAATTACTTGTCTTCTTTATAGAAAAACGTGATGCACACTATACATGGTGAGCGACACCCCAATCACCAGTTAGGAAGCTGAGCAGTAGGCACTGATACCAATACATGAATGATTAAACTGTACCTATGGAGTGTCAGGCTCTCCTTGGGCCTCCAGCCCCAGAGTCTCTTCATGGAAATGTCAGAGAAGCAGAAGGAGAAAATTCACAACTGCTCGATCAATGACCTCACAATCAAATCTTGTCTCCTTTGGAAGTAAAGTAATTGGATGTTTGTATTTGCATTATTTACACCAAACAGTAGTGTCAACAGCATTATCTGGGAAATCCGCACATGAGGAATGTGTAGAAACCTCACTGAGCAGCAGCCAGAAAAAATCAGGGCTATGAGGTTACAATGATAAAAATGAATAAACAGGCAGAGTTTACTGCAATTCACTGGCTTAATCTACAATTAGAAGAACTGAAATGACTGACAAACACGGCATGTGTTTCAAGATTCACGGGGGTTTTATAACTAAAAAATTTTGCGTAAGAGTGAAGACTAAGTATGCCACCACTTTGGTGGCAGCTAAGGATCTGCAATAAAAAAGGAGAGCAAAAATGATCTGTCAGGCTTTCTTTTCTGAGAAAAAAAGCAATTATGAAGGAAACTGATGTTTAAGTTCTGTGTGTTTTTTTCATTTATACAGTTTACTTCCTACTTAAAGAACACAGACCTAACGTATGCAGGAATGCCCAACGGCTGAACATAAGAAAAACAAAAAAGTCACCTTCCTTGCACAGGTGAGAAAAAGTGAAACAGTGGTTCAGAGCCTGAAAAGATGAAGAGAGGTGAATTCTGTCTGCCCATGGACTGTGGGCCATTCCGGTGAGCTGGAACACGGCTGCTGCTGCAGATGGGCTGCTCTACAGCTCACCCGGCAAGACGGTGCATACGCACAGCACAAAAACTGCCCGAGGTGAGGAGGTGATATGGAAACTGGAGGTGATGAAGGTGCCAGTAGGAACACCGGGCACCCTGCGGGCACCGACCGTCCCCGCGAGGCGCGGGAGGGCTAAGCATCCTTTGGGGAACTCCCTGTTCCAGCCCTGCGCTCCGTCCCTTCCCGCACACTCCAAGAACTACGTCCTCCTGTAACGAATGCCTTTCCGACAAAGCGCACTGCTGGCGCCAGCAGGGCCCTGCTCCGGCTTCCTGCCAGGTTCCGGGCCGAACGACACCGGGCCCGAGGCCTCGGGGGCCGGCCTGGCCTTCGGGCGGAGAGGAGCCGCTCCCGCCGCTGCTCCCCGGAGCTGGGAGCGCGTTCCGCTCGCTGCGCCGCGCCGGGCCGGGCCGCACAGCCCCGCCAGCGGGCCCGGGGAAGCCCGCTCGCTCCCGCGATCCCGACGTCGGAGCCCATCTCGCGGTGACCCAGGGACGAGCCAGGCTTCCCGGGGCAGCCACCGGCGGCGCCGGCGGAAAGCCTGCGGACACTCACCGAGCCATCGCCGTTCCGCATGGTGCCGGTGCCGCCGCCACGTCAGCGCCGCGCCGCCCGCGCGGTCCCGCCCGCCGCTTCCGGCCGACCCTGGCAGCGCGGCCGCCTGGAGCCCGCCGCGCTGTCGTGGCGCGCCCGGGGCCGCTCCGAGCCGTGCAGCGCTAGGAGGCCGCGCGGGCCCGCGGTGCGTCCCGGGCGGCAGCGGGGCCACAACCAGGTCCGTGTGCGTCACGTCGGGGCCGCGGCCGCCCCCTGCCCCGGAAGGACAAGTGGGCTCTGGGAAGATGGCAGCGGCGGCGGGAGCCGCGGCCCCGGCCCCGGCCCCGGCCCCGGTGTGTGTGCTCGTGCTGGGCATGGCCGGCTCCGGAAAGACCACCTTCGTGCAGGTGAGAGGCTGCGGGAGTCGCGAGGGGCCACGGGGAGTCGCTGACCGCCGCCGGGGCTGCCCCGTGCCTAGCGGGGCCTGACGCCTCCCCGTGTCTCTGCAGCGCCTGGCCGCCCACTTGCACGGGCAGCGCTGCCCTCCGTACGTGATCAACCTGGATCCTGCCGTGCACAACCTGCCCTTCCCCGCCAACATCGGTGAGTGCCGCGCCCTGCGGGACGGGGGGGCCCGGGCCGGAGGAGCGGCCTGGAGTCCGCCAGGAGAGAGCAGGTACGCAGGGCCTTAACCAGAGACAAAACCGGCTCGCGGAGAGTGCTTTCCCAGTGCTGGGGGAAGCGAATGCGTGAGGGAATACAAGCTTGTATTCCCTTACGGGAGTCCAAGGTCTAATAAAAGAAAGACTTGGAGACTCATTTTTTAAATTGTAGTTCTCTTTTCCAAACAGTCGTTAATATGGGTATTTTTAGAACCAAAGCCCTTCTTCCAATGCTGTCATACATTTTTTATATCATCTGGTGTGATTGGAGGTGTTTGGGTTCTGGAGACTATTTTTTGTCAGTAATGAAAGGATTACCAGATTTGATCTCGTTTCCTACATATGCATACGCTATCAATAAAGAGCTTTAAAGCACTTTAAAAGACACGAATTTTAGAGAAAATATTTTAGCAATAGAACAGATCTTATATTTAGTTGTTCCAAAGAGCATATCAGTCCCTAGTTTTGTGACAATCCTGTCTCTTACACTCTGTGAAGTATGCTAGTCAGCCTCTCCAAAGGATGAGAAAGACAGTGTGGGTGCACAAGTTGTTTTGGTGCTGTCAGCGGAATGACTGGAGTATCTGTTCCAGTGCTGGATCTCTAGTAACAGACAGATGGGTAGGTACGCTTTGTTAGCTGATGGTAACCAGCTGGGGGTTGGGAAACTGCTTATATGTCTCTCTCCCCTAGATATCAGGGACACGGTGAAGTACAAAGAAGTCATGAAACAGTATCCTTTTTCGGTCTAAATAATGATATTTGAAATGTCAAGGTTTCAAAAATAATCTGTCATATGCACACTGTGGTGAAGGTGGATACAAGAGGTCGGGGGAATTGCAAGTAATGCAGAGTGTTGCATGAAGATCAAGAGGTTTTGACTGTGTATTGCTTCATCTGATATTAGGAATGTGTGTTCTATAAGATTTGGTACTTCTTAGGTAATTTTCTGTGCTAAAATTGATTCTGCCTAACAGTAAGTTTTTACAAGTAATAGGGACTCTGCCCATGTAGGTTTTTTTCCTTTTTTTTTCAGTTTTTCTATCAAAGAACTTGTATGTTCTGTTGGCTTTTTGTTTGTTTGTGGATTTTTTGGTTGGTTGTTTTGGAGGGTTTTTTTTTTTGTGTAAGCCAGAAGCCTTTTCCCTATGCTTTAACTAGTCTAGTTTTATTTGTCATAAACAAATATGGAAATATTTTTCCATTTGACCATAATCGAAACACTGTTGTCTCTCTGAATGTCAGAGACATTGGAATGTTTGCTCTTGCTCACACTGTTGGTGACTGTAGTGCAGTAACATTACACTAATGTGGCTGCACTTCCAGAGGGCTGTGGAGGTCCTTGGTCTCATGTAATGGCTTGTGCAGATGGAGGTGATACACAGTCTTTGGTTTTCACTTGTAAGTATGTCTCTTTTATTAAATATATTTTAGACAAGAATAAAGGTGGTAGGGGATAGGATTCTTGATTTTGGCTGTTGTTTGATTTGGGATTACCAGCGAAACATCCTAAATATAAGTTTCAAATTAATATGTAAGTGCATTATTTGCTTTACTGTATTTGTTAGCCATTACTGGAGCTTCTGTGTCTTGTTAATAAGGGTCTAAAGAGGATATTTGGCCTCATGTTTGGATATTGAGAGTACTCATAGAGAAGACAGTATGTTACGAGTCAATGCTGGTTCTTGTGTAGTTAAAACAACAATGGCAAGGAGAAGCCAGGTAGCCCCTCTTCCTTCTGTCAATTGCATGTGTTTGGGTAAGAGAGTATTTCTTACCCTGCTGAATGACTCAGAAGTCCTAATTATATATTAGGGCTATTGTCCCTTGAACCCAAGGTATCCACTGTGCATCTGCTGTCAGAGTTGACCACAGCCTCTGCGGTCTGCATAACCATCTGCTTTCCTAAATGAAGCATCAGATATGGGCTGGGCCCAAATGGAGGAATAGTGACCTCTCTCAATCTCTTTGCTACAAGATTTGACCAGGTATAAGGTTGTTTCTATGTGCTGTTCCTATGATGCTGTGCTGGAGATGGAGGGGTTTTGTGTATGTTGAGTCTCAGAGGGCACTGTGTTTGATTAGCCTTCTAGAATTTCTGGGGAGTTACTGTCCATACAGAAGCATGTATTTTACAATGCTGCCAGAGCACATTAGCTTTCGTATGAGACATTTCAGTTTTTCAGCTTTTTTAAAAGTAAAATTAAGAAGCCACATGTATGGAACATTTTTCAGTCTTTGTATAGGACTGTTGTTGCACCATGTTTCCTAAAAAATCTTTCATGTGAGTGCTCTGGTTTTGAAGTAAGGAAGCTCACTTCTAGAAACCTGTTAAATTTTCCTGGGGTTTTTTGATAATTGATAGCTCTCCTAAATCACAGCATTAAATCAGCTCTGGAGTGGGGACTGAAGTCAGATATTGAGACAATCTAACTGCCTTTAGTCAAGTACTAATTTCTTTAGCCAGGTACTAGAACACACACAAAATCAAGGTTGTCTTTGACCTATACAGGGTCTGAGCATTTTTCACTCCTCCTTACTACAGTATTTTCACCCTCTGAAAAGCAGAAATACTTCAACCTTTTGATACTCACCTGCAACTGTGCAAGTTAATGTAGTTTCTGCTATGAAATTAAGCTGAAAGTTTCCTGTTGTGAGCCTAAATACAAAATATACTTCTGCCTTTTCAATCAGGTGATGAAGTTTATTGAAAAAAGACAAAATGCATCTAAGTGAGTACATTCTGCTGAGTTGTGCTTTGCTGGGATCATTGTGGGAAAATTGTAAAATTCTAAAAAGCTTCTCTGAATGTTTTCTAGTTGGTTTTCTCAGCCTTGGTATAAGTTTGGAATGTGGAAAATGGCACAGAATGGATAAACTAGATTTTCCTTGGATATATCAAAAGAAAGCCTACTTATTACAGTCCTGCTTTTCTTATATTCCACTAGACTGACATTTTTCTCTTACACACTGTTCAAACAGGCAGCAATTAATTATTTTTCTGAAGATTTTGCACTACTAGCTGTCTGTCAAATTGATGCCTTCAACTCATGAGAGTACATGCTTCTTAGTTACAGGAGATTTTTCAGGCATGCCCTAAATCTCATTAGTGTTTGGGAGAAGCTTTTCTCATCTGTTACAGAATTATAATGTCATTTGTCATTGTATGCTATGTCCTGTCAGAACAGGACCTTGTGCTTAACTAATTTTCCCTTATTGTTGTTTGGGGGTAACTTCTTACCAGGTATGTTATTATTGACACACCAGGGCAAATTGAAGTATTTACTTGGTCAGCATCAGGAACCATCATAACTGAGGCCTTGGTAAGTGCTTCTGACATGACTGGACAGTGAAGTTGCGTGAATGACCTGGTTGTTGAGCAGTGTGCTTCTAATTAAACTGTTTTTACTTTGTGTTCCCAGGCTTCCTCTTTTCCTTCAGTTGTTGTCTATGTGATGGACACCTCTCGCAGTACTAACCCTATCACTTTTATGTCCAACATGTTGTATGCCTGCAGGTAAGAAAAGCTGGAAATGTGGCCCATCTGCTTCAATTGCTGTGTCTCTTTAATAGTTATTTTTAAGGGAAAACATGGAATAGTCTGGGTTTAAAGTGACCTTTAAAGGCCATCTAGTCCATGCTCCCTTCCGTGGGCAGGGACATCTTCCACTAGGCCAGGTTGGTTCAAGCCCCATCCAACCTGGCCTTGAACACTTCCAGGGATGGGGCAACCACAGCTTCCCTGTGCACTGTGCTCCAATATCTCTCCGCTGTCATTATGAAAAATTTTGTCAGCATTCCCTTTTAGCTTAAAACCATTATCCATTGTCCTGTCACTACAAGCCTTGGAAAAAAGTCACCCTTCATTTTTCTTATAAACCTCTTTTTATACTGAAAAGCTGCAATGAAGCTTTCCTGAAGCCTTCTCCAGGCTGAACAATCCCAACTCTTTGGCCTTTCTCAATAGGAAAGTCCTTCCAGTCCTCTAATGGTTTACATGTCCTCCTGTGGGCCCGTTTTACAGGTCCATGTCTTTCTTGTATCATGGTTTCCAGAGCTGGATGCAGTGCTCCGGGTGGGATGAGAACAGAGTAGAAAGGGAAAATCACCTTCCTCACCCTGCTGCCCTCAGAACCTGAGGTCTGAGTCAAATGCAAAATGGAAAGGCAATTAAAAACTGGGATCTGAGAGTCATGGAAAATGGTAACCAAAATCAACTGGCTGTGTCAGAAATTTTCGGTCTCACAGATGTGTGCTTACATCTTGGGGAGGCATATTTTGTTCAATGATTGTAAGCACTACCTACATGAAAATTACATTCTAAATGGTGCAGAGGAAAATCATTATCTTTTGATGTCAAATGTGTTCAGTTCTGCACAAGTCTTATC